AGCAGGTGCAAGGCATTGTGGAAGGGGCTTTCACTTTTCCTGCCCCAGTTTTTTCTGCTGGCGCCCTGTTGTATGGGAATATCGGCAATGTGGCCATAGTGCTGTCAGGGAGCAGTAAAACAGACCTAACAGAGAAATTCAGAGGCAGACTGTGGTGGGACAGTAAGACGGTACTCTTCACCATCACCGATCTGCAGATCCAGGACTCTGGCCAGTATAAAGTGGATAACAGTGATGGAGTGAAGAAAGTTACAGCATATCAGCTGACTGTATACAGTGAGTTCTGCTTCTGGGTGTCTGTATGTGTGTATGAGTATGTGTGCATATCATCAGGGGTGTGTTTGTGTGTGTCAGGCTTATGGTTAATTAAACCTATAAGAAAACATTGTTGTAAACTGAAATAAGATGCAAAACAAATACTACAGCTAAACAAAACCTATGAATATTGCTTCCAAAAATAATTGAAATAACATAAAATAAATGGGAAATACTTCCCGTTACTGTTTTCTATTACTATTTAGCTGAAGTATTGATTTGTCTTTCCTCCTTTAAGGGAATCATTTGAGGAAATGTAATTCAGTTTATTGCCTTTAGATGGCGCCGTGCTCTGGGCCTCTTTTGTGCAATGCACTTGGACCACAGAAATGGCCAACGGCACTGCATAGCAACATTGTGTAATAGATAGCTAAGTCCTATAACTTTATGTCTATTCCTAAAAATACAATTACGAAAACTTGAAGTGCAACAAAAATATGTAATGACTAAATAGTAATGTATCTTTAAAATAACAAGTAATAAAACCACATTGAAATAAATTGGATTTCTCATGAAGATTGAAAACAATGTGAAAATAAAAACTAAAACAAAAAATCAGAACTAAAACATTGGTGTGTGTGTGTGTGTGTGTGTGTGTGTGTGTGGGTTATCTTTATATTACATTGTGGAGACCAAATGTCTCCCTCAGTGTAATAAAAACCTGTTATTTTGACATTTTGGGGACCATTTTTTCATGTCTCCACAAAGATCTGTGAATGCAATCAAAAAACTAAAAATGTCAAAAGTCAAAGGTCGTCGTGTCGGGATTAGAGATTTCCCCATAGAAATGAATGTAGAGTCACCACAAAGATATAATTACAAACCTGCGTATCTGTGTGTGTGTGTGTTTGTTTTTGTGGGGGGGTATGTTTTAATGTGCTCCCACTTTCTCTCCCTCTTCAGATCACGTGTCTGAACCCAGACTGTCGGCCGGTGGGAGCTGCTGGGTTCTGTGTTCTGTGGAGAACGGGAGAGACGTCACCCTGTCCTGGTACAGAGGGACCGAGAGACTGAACCAAACCAGCAGCCCTGACCTCAGCACCAGCCTGTCTCTCCCCCTGGAGATAGAACACAGATACACCTATTACTGTGAAGCAAAGAACCCAGTCAGCTCACAGAACCTCACACTGGAGATACCAGCAAACTGCAGCAAAACCTCAGGTAGGGTTGCACGATATAACTTTTGTCCAGACACTGGCTTTTTGGTGCTATATGGAGATTTAGTAACATCCACAATTCGATAAGGAGAATAGTAGTGCACCTAAAATATTAACGAGAGGCGTATTGTGCTTCCCAAAGTTAGTAATTTGTATAAATTTGGCGTATGCCTATATTTAATAAACATCACTCCACCAACTTCATTTTAACCCTTAACCACAATATTTCCTCTTTTAAAAGCTGTTGTGGCAACTGAGCTGTCCCTTTCTTCACCGCTGCTTCAGTACTTATCGCTTCCATGATCATAGCTGTCAAGTCTCTCGTTTTGGCCGGGAAACTACCGTATTTTACCCCTATTTCCCGCCGTCCTCCCGTATTAGTATTTTCCCGTAAATCTCCCGTATTATAATTGTCACGCCCAGCTCTGTCCGATCCTAATGTGTGCCACGCCCACCTCGTTACCTCGTGTTCATCCCTGATTGTTCTCACCTGTTGCTCGTTACCCTCAGCTTGTCTTGTGCATTTAGTCCGAGTCTCAGTGAGTCTTCCCCAGATCAGTCATTGTGGTGTCATGTTTGATGTTTGCCGTCCTGCTTCCCCAGTCATGGTTTGCTAATAAATCCCCGTTTGACCCGACTTCCTGGCTCCTCTCCCCTGCTTCCCGGATCGCCTGTTCCTGAACATGACAATAATATAATTTAAAAAAAATTCCTCTGGCTCTCCAAACAACTGTCAGTAGCCTCACGAGAACTGCCACCTGCAGTAGTCTGCAGGTCATTTACAACATTAACCAGGTCATAAATGCGGAGCTTAAAATGGCAATGCTGTGCGCCAAAAACAACGTTACTTTCACCTTCTGTGACGACTTCAACAAGGATACAAAGTCTGCAACAAATCTGTATAATAAGTCATTAGTG